GATCAACAATGAATATCACAGATAAATAAACAATCCCAGAAAGACGGTACTCTGTTGTAAAGATGAGATTTCTGAATTGGCACTAAATATTAGACGAATGTTTAATAGAGAAATCTGCTTACCAATTGATAGATAATGGAGTTCTTATCACCTATTTGACAAAGACAACAAGTTCTGTTGTTGACAGACAACTAAAAGTGCAGCGTACCAGATGAGGTAATAAAATGTTCATTGGCATACTTGTTTCTACATTTGGTCAGATATTTAGGACCTCAGTTGATTTGCTTTAAATGCAGTTGTAAAATGCAGGACAATTTATACTACTTCAATGATATCAGTATTTGAAAACCAATCACGTCAACCACTAGTGATTGCTAGCCAGGTCAAAGTGATCTAAACACTTAGGTGCCATTTCACTAGCCTGGGACTGGGATGATCAACGATGTACTCAGCTCAGATAGCCTAATTAGATCTTGGGCGAAATGGCAATACATGGAATGAAATTCCCAGTCTGTGAATAACACCATCTGAGGTGAATTTTCACCACACTTTTGTCTGGAAACTGAAAATATTCAGTTCGCTTGATAACACAAATATCAGTCAAGGAAACAAGTATAATTTCAATGAACCATTAGCTTTTGTTTCACAAATGGCGTTTTATTTCATGTAAAACTGTATACTACTGATTGATTGAAATGAGTAGTTGCATATCAATCATATCAGCTAGTAATGCTTGCTAGTTGGCCAGATAGAGATGGATAATCTAATTGCAGTTGATGCTCGGAGTGGTTTATACACATTCTTCCCTACAATAATCTATAAGAATTACATGAGTGTAGGTCAGTGACTTTTGACCTTTGTTTCTAGAAACGAAACCTCAAAAGTATTACATAAAAATTTTTGGTACTATTGGTAACTCAATAAATTATCATTTTTGTTCCCTTGAGCTCCTAGTGGAATATCGGGCTTCGGCAGCACATCTCCACTTTTTCCTACTTTCTTCTCTCTTCTACAGCTTGCCTCACGATTACCCATAATCTCTCATCTTCTCCTCACATAATCTCCAGATCATCTTCAGACTGATGCCCAACCTATCGTTTCCCATTCAAATTCCTTTCCATTGATGGCCCACATTTAGCGCGATATCACCCAATGGTCTCCACCAAGTGTTCCCAATCCATCTCCGTTTTATCCTACGTATTTATTGGGCAATAACTTCTTGATTAGTTGGTCAGCATCCAGGGTTTGTTGTTGACAATACTTTCTGTCCAGCAGTCCGATCTTCATTATGGATCCTCTGCAGGCAGTTATTACCAAAAGTCCTCTGTAGCCTGTTAGAAATGCTTGGTCACACAAACATAGTCAAATTTCCCACTCGACTTGACAAGACACTCGATCTAGTTTTTACTAATGACGAAGGAGTATAGGAAACACTTAGATGTTCACCGATACCTAACTCCGAACACTGTATTGTCCGTGTTTGACCAAAAATATACAGCAAAACACATATTAAAGTCTTCTCACACCTGTCTATGAAAGCACAACAAAGATGCTACACATCTGACAACCTACTCAATCTAAGATGCATGTTAAAAAATACTAACTGAGATTTATTCTATGAAAGTACATTAGATGACTCAATCACCAATATAACGGATTATCTTAAGTTCTGCCTTGACATATGCTGTCCCAAACAAACACTTTTCAAACGCCTCGACAGCTTCTCGTCTCCCCATCTCAAACAACTTCGCAGGCAAAAAGAAATGTTATATAAACTCAGCGATAAGTTAGGACTTAAAGAGATTAATGCTCAAATCAAATCTGAAATCAAAAATCTTAATGCTATCTATAACCAAACACTTTCATCATGCAAATCTCCTATCAGCATGTGGAAACTTTTCAATGAAATTACTGGCAATAGTAAGCGATGTAATGTTTTTCCCTCTAATGATGTTAACGCTCTTAATCAGTCTTTTATACGCTCTCCTTCTACTATAACCACTTCTAATGTTACTGATCATGTAGCTGATAACTTCCAGGACTTTAGCACTCTTGATGTTTTGAAATGTCTTAATACTCTTAAGCCCTCATTTAGTCTTGGCCCTGATGGCATACCTGCATATGTTCTAAAACAATGCGCAGATGCTTTGTGTTCTCCTCTAACTAACATCCTAAATGCTTCTTTCTCCTAAAACGTTGTACCTGTTCCATGGAAAGACATCAAAGTAGTCCCTGTGCCTAAACCTGGCAATAGCGAGAACGTAAAGTTCAGACCCATTGCCATCACTCCCCCGTTTCTAAATCTTATGGAAAAACCAGTACTTCTTAAACTCAAACCGCCCCTAAAAGCTTTGAAGACCCCAAACAATTTACCTACAAACAGGGTAGGAGTACTTTAGACGCTGCAGCCGTCTTACACAACAGTATCGTCTCATCATTAGATAAAGGTGCAAAATACGTCCGATGCACGTTTCTCAACTTCACTTCTGCTTTCGACACTATACCTAGATGTCTCTTGCTAAATAAGCTCTCTATTACACAAACTGAGTCCTGGGTCACCAACTGGTTGCATTCCTACTTTTCAAACAGAATGCAGTACAATGTATACAAAGGTAAATCCTCCTCTGGTGTGTACACTGAAGCTAATGTCCCCCAAGGTGCTGTACTCTCCCCACTTCTGTTTTCTTTCTTTTTATATGACCTACCATCTTCAAATGACATTAACTTTGTCAAATATGCTGATGACCTAACTGTATCTTTGCCTGTCAAATGTCAAAGTGACTGCTCTAAACTGAATGGCTTTTTATCAGAAATCAGCCAATGGTCCAAGGAAAACGGTCTCACCTTAAACCCCTCCAAATACCAAACAGTCAATTTCACCTTTAGGCATAAATCTGACCTAAACAAACTGATTAGAACTCACGAGGTGTGCAACATACATGGCATTGAAATAGAAACGAAGTCAGAAATTAAATACCTAGGCGTCATTCTATCTTCTGATCTTTCCTGGTCGTCTCATATCTTGATGATTTCGAAGAAAATATTCCGTCTTACCATCTACAATAAAAAGTTAAGACATTCTCGAATAACCCAACCCTACTCCTACAATTTGTTAACTCCCGTATTCTGCCTATTACTCTCAATTGTTCCCCCTTAGTTTTTCCAGGGCTGGCTACTGAAGAAAGACTATACCTTATTACGCAGGATGTTAAAGGTTGTCAGCACAGTAAGCCACAGAGTGCCACTTAACCAGCTTGTTAATATTCTGGTCGACACAGGCACTTGGACTCATGTGAAAAATGGGCGAAATCCATTTTATCTAACACCAATCACACTCTTCATTCACAACTCTCCCCTTGTATCTCATCAGGCAGGCAGACCAGAAGCCTATATAGAAAACTATATGCTCGCACTAGTAAGTACAAAAAGTCAACCATTCCCTACTTAGCGGGTGTTCTGTGCTATAAAGAAAGCATTAGGCATGAAACTTATGACTTATTAAATAGTCAGTAGAACAACTGGATCTCGTCTTTCCAACTCATATCATTTATAAGTAGAAAGTTTTCTTGCTTTCTGATATGCATTCACATGGTGTGTGTTTTGTTTTCGACAGTCTATTATATTTTGCTATGTGTATATGGATCGATATTTCATTATAACTGACAATATGCTTTTGTATGTCCACTAACTAAATAAACGTGTATGACCTTGTTGTCACATGACATTACAACCAATCATGGTAAGACTGACTATTTATTGGTTCATGTGTATTAGTTATTTTCATATATACTTTGTACAATATTCTTGTTCCCACGTTTCGTACACTACGTACCATTTCACTCACACTCTTGTGTGACATTTATTTTCCTTGTTTGGAAAATACAAGTTTCATCGTAAACCTGGTGGTCTTCTGATTTCCCTCTTTCGCGTCAGAACTATTAACTACTCGACGAGTACATAACATAATTGGCGACGGGGGAAACTCTAATAACACACTCAGCAGCAATACATAGCACTTTCTTTTCCTTTTCTCTCTCTCTCTCTGTTTTTCTGTTATGTGCTCCTTTGTTTCTTTCTTCTGCTTACGCCAGAAAATATGCTATAACCTACTTTTCTAGCACCTTCAAACACTCCGTTTAATTTTGGCCTTGCTACCGACATGCCAATATGTTGTTGTCAAAACTAACCGAGATTACCCTTATTCTATGTAGAATTTTATTTTATTGTTAATTTACTAACTGGATGCAATAATGTAGTGAAATGGTGAGAATTCCATTCTGTATCACAAGTACTGTTTTGGAATAAAGCTATTATCATTATCATTGTTATTGTCCTTGATGCGCACCCAAGTTTCTGACCCATGAAGAAGAACTTCCTGAATGACTCACTAACTGACTTAAAATTGGTGTTGAAAATCATCATTGTGTTGTTAATGCTTCGGTGGAGTGGTGAAAATTTCCAAACTGATTTCAGAGTCATGAAGCCGAAAACTGCCTTTCTAATCCTCTCTGGATTTGACATCTTCATCCAAACCTCCACCTGTTGTTGAAACGATGCCACCTAACCAGATAAGTGAAAGAGGTAAACTCTTCCAGACTTCTCTCTCATTTACACAGCTTGGTATCGGTTCTTCTTGCTGTTAGTAGGTTACGTTAATAACCTCCGTCTTCTCTATGTCCACTTGAAGTCCCATCTTCTCTGGTTGTTTCTTCAACCACGAAACTGAAAACTGACAAATTCATTTCTTTAGGTTTTAGTACCTAAGATCATGAAAAAGATTCTGTGCAGTAGTCCATCTTGATGACTTGAACATACAACTGTAACCGGAATGAATTTCCAAAGAATCATTTTCGTCTATGTTATGACCAGCGTTGAGATTTTCACCACCTACATTGTCGGATGTCTATTTTTCCTAAAACTTAAAGTATCTACAATGATTCTTTTGACATTTGCTAATCTTTCTACTCATAAGTAACCCATTTTATTTATTTAAATTTCAGGTACATTTTGTCGAAAGGAGTTCAATATCAGAACAGTAGGTCACATAAATCAAAATGGATGTTTACTAAAAGGAACTACCCGTATTTTTTCTTCATCCTCTGACTCATCAAAAACAGTGAATCGATTATTTTACCCAAAGAAATTTGTATTTCTGTGTTTACTGTTGTATGAAGAAACTAAATATTTCTCTTTATTTTTGGGTTTTTTCTGCATTTCATTTATATAAACCACTTGACGAACTGCTAACTCTTGTATACATAGAATGTGTTATAATTTTGATGTGACTGTGTTCTCTGAGCTGGATAGTTAATCTGCAAAGCTTTCATCACCCTACTAGGTGACATCTTCAGCGAATACTTCAATTCGCTGAAGTGATTTCTCAACGGGTTTATCAGGCATCTCTCCTGGTCAGTAACCTTGAACGTGAATGGTTGTTTCTGTGTGTTTTCACACCATCTAGGTTACTTGTATTTGAATCGATTGTTTCTTTGACTTGAACTTTGATCCTTTGTGTGTGAGGTTTCTTTCTTATCGGTTGATGAATTCTGTCTATCTCTATGTGTCTATTGATTGGTGATTCACTGGAATACCAGGCCAAGCTTCTAAAAATTCTCTAGCATTCTTGTTCTTTCCTCTGTCTAATATTCAAACTCTGGTTGTCCCAGTCGAATGGATGTCCGTGGTTGTCTGTATGTAGTGATATGAGCGAGGGAGTGGATATCATGTCTTTTGACGGCTAGTTTATGATCGTGGATACGAAGACGAAGGGAATGTCCACTTTGGCCAATGTAGTGTTTTTCGCGGTTGTTACAGTTTATTTTGTAGATGATGTTGGTTTTGTAACAACTGCGAAAAACACTACATTGGCCAAAGTGGACATTCCCTTCGTCTTCATATCCACGATCATAAACTAACCGTCAAAAGACATGATATCCACTCCCTCGCTCATATCACTACATACAGACAACCACGGACATCCATTCGACTGGGACAACCAGAGTTTGAATATTAGACAGAGGAAAGAACAAGAATGCTAGAGAATTTTTAGAAGCTTGGCCTGGTATTCCAGTGAATCACCAATCAATAGACACATAGAGATAGACAGAATTCATCAACCGATAAGAAAGAAACCTCACACACAAAGGATCAAAGTTCAAGTCAAAGAAACAATCGATTCAAATACAAGTAACCTAGATGGTGTGAAAACACACAGAAACAACCATTCACGTTCAAGGTTACTGACCAGGAGAGATGCCTGATAAACCCGTTGAGAAATCACTTCAGCGAATTGAAGTATTCGCTGAAGATGTCACCTAGTAGGGTGATGAAAGCTTCGCAAATCAACTATCCAGCTCAGAGAACACAACCACATCAAAATCATCCACCTGAGCTACAAATCTTCTCTATCATATCTAAATGTCTCATAAATAATCTGAAGCGTGTAATGGCCTTCGCCAGTAATACAGTCTAATAACGAACATTATGAATCAAAGCATTTACACTACCAGAGAGTGAATATATATGACCCTAAAAAATAATTTTATGATAAATCAAATGAAACAACACCAGAGATAACCAAATAAAGCAAAAAAAACAGACAATATTTCCACTCTGAAATATTTCTGCTCTGTCATAATTGAAAGTTGACCTCACTTCTTCATATTATTCAATGTACAAGAGAAATAAAACAATTAATCGATACATTTAGGGTCAGGAATTCTTAGGTCAAAAATTAAAACTGAAAGGCCAGAATAAAAGTTTATCGACTGACAATTAAAGTGATGCAAAAATGAAACTTGTCTGTGTGAGAAATAAACACTAGTATGTTGAGAAGACTTCAGATACTAAGTAGACAAGAGTTATAGTTTATAGTAGAATGATAGACGGAATAAGTCTTTTTTTACTTACGGAATTCAAGGTCGAGTTAGTGTGTCACCAGTACCTCCATCAAACACAAGTGTCGAGACAAATCTGAATAACACAATAAGAATATGATATGAGATGTTTGGAGGCAATTGGCAGGAAACCTTGAACCCAGGTTTCGTGCTACTTGTCACTCGCTTAATGGTAACGTCTCTGCCTGCCACACTCACTGGAGACACAGGTTAGAACCTCAGAAGGGATATGAATTCCTTCAAGGTTATGGACACGCCTTGCTGACTAGTGAATTTGAATGAAGCAAGAACAACAGTGGTGGTTTGTGCAGAATAATATGGTACCATCATCGTTTATTTCGTTGGCTTCTCATCATTTCAGCTGCTTACAGCCTAAATAAATTTTGAGATTTACGTACAGAAACGTTTTAACATACGTGCAAATTTTACATGTTGTCAGTTGACAGAAAGTTCCACAATTAGTAAACAGTGCTCAGAAAATTCCGCTTATATAGTTTTTACACAGGCAGTTCAAGTTTAAACAGAATAAATGTATGCATACAATGGTAAAGGAGTTACGTAATAAAGACGAAATATGCTTTAGATGCATAGTGACTAATAAATTAGGTAACGATGTACTGAGGTGAACTCAAATCATAGAAACAAGAGACAAGCAAAATTACAGATTATAAAAGGAGTGTGAGGTTAAAGACATGTTAAAACATGTGCCGAAAAGCCTACGTCTCAAGGGAACAAACTCTTATAGTAGCGCTATTACCAGACATCTCCTCGACACGGGTCATGAGATGGAAATCGAAAAATCCTTCAAAATTATCAATAGACAAAAGAGCTCCATTCTCCTCAAGTTTCTATTAAACGCTTGAAACCAGATTTATGTGTTCAGAAAGCAGCAGTTATTAGTCTTCCCTTGCCCTCGTAACTGGATGTCTTTATTCCCTCATCTGATTACGTAATCTTTGTCTTTAACCCCACCCCCTCTTGATATAGCGTAGTTTTGCTTGTCTCTTGTTTCTATGATTTGAGTTCACCTCAGTACATCGTTACCTAATTTATTAGTCACCATGCATCTAACGCACATCTCATCTTTATTACGTAACTCCTTTACCATTGTATGCATACATTTATTCTGTTTAAACTTGAAATGCCTGTGTAAAAACTATATAAGCGGAATTTTCTGAGCATTGTTTACTAATTGTGGAACTTTCTGTCAACTGACAACATGTAAAATTTGCAAGTATGTTAAAACATTTCTGTACTTAAACCTCATAATTTATTTAGACTGTAAGCAGTTGAAATGATGAGAAGCCAACGAAATAAACGATGATGGTACCATATTATTCTGCACAAACCACCACTGTTGTTCTTGCTTTAGTTAAGTTCATCAAATGGAATAAATGCATGACTAGTGAATGCCATCTAGCACCAAACCTAGGGGCAACACAAGTTTTTGCGTGGCCTATTGTCACCAGCTACCTAATACCAACGATTCACAGTGGATCGTGATATTGACCCACCTAGTATGATGGCCATATTGTGAACTTGACTGACGACAGAATTCAGTCTACAACAAACAAGAGACTAGACACATTACACTAATTACTACTACTAATGTGCGTCGGTGGCACAGTGGTTAGGACTCTCGCCGACCATGCACATGGTCCGAGGTTCGAGCCCACGCCGGCGCACACCTGATATCTATGGTCGGCCTGCAAAATTTGGGCTACCGATATCCATGCTGAAAATTCCATACTTGTACCAAAAATACAGTGCAGAATCAAGCTGTAAATCAAAAAATAAAAACTAGTTTCCCGTCTAAATATACAATGAGAATATATTCCTAAGGATAAGATGAGTACATTTAATTTCATCAGATTTTTGTCAGCTGCACACACCTAAATAATAAACTGTATGAGCAATGCGATCAAATTACTGAAGGCTGGGAAAGCAGCAGGACGAGATGTAATTTCCACTGCACACACCCCCCCCACCCGAGAAGCACTAAAAACGGACCCAGAAACTGTAGCAGATATTCTCACGCCCTTATTGCAAAAGGTTTGGAAGGCAGGAAAGGTACCTACTGACTGGGAAAAATGCTACGTTGTCAAGCCGCAAAAGAAGGGAAACCTAAGCTTATGCATGAACTGGCGTGGAATAATGCTCTTGTCCACGCCAAGCAAAATACTAAGTCGCCCAATCCTAGAGAGAATAAAGAATGCACTGGATGCAGAACTCCATCACCTACCGGAACAAACTGGATTCAGGAAAGGCAAATCATGTGTTAATCAAATGGAAACTCTACACAGCATCATCGAACAAAGCATAGAATGGCAGTCAAACCTCTACCTCAATTTCATCGACTTCGAAAACGCCTTTAACATACAGCGTTGACTGATTCGTAATTCGGAAACTACTTCAAAGACTACGGTGTACCTTAAGTCTTTATCAACCTCATTCAACAGTTGGTTGTATAACAGGGCCATGTATCAGGTGATCCACAAAGGAAACCTCAGCGAGGCGTTGGAAGTGCATACAAGAGTAAAACAAGGCTGCCTGCCTATTATCACCATTAATATTATTAATTGTGGTGGAATGGATAATGCGTCAGACTATTTGGGACGAGGAGTTAGGAATACGCTAGACTACCGATTAGAAGACTCTAGCAGATCTGGATTTAGCACGTCGTTGATATATGTCTATGTTATGTACTCGTCGACAAATTATTGTTATGAACTGGTCGAGATATTTAATAGTCCTGACGCAAGAAGGCGGAAATCAGAAGACCACTAGGTTTGCGATGATACTTCTATTTTCCAAACACAAGGAGAATGCAATCAGTGGTATCACACCAAAGTAAGTAAGTGTAAGTAAGTCAGTCACACAATATTGTGAATGCAATATATATATATATATGAATGTTCCAGACAAAGTGTGTGAACAAATCATTAGACAGTCTTAACATGAATGGCTAATTATAATGAAGTATCGATCCATATATACATAGCGAAATATAGCAGACATGTCAACAACAACCATATATGGATATATGTCACCAAGCAACGGACTGTCAACAAACACTCATATTATATATAATATAATATAAGGAGAATATACATTGTTAAAGGAGACAAGTTCATACAAGTGAAGTGGTCACAGACTAAGAGAGTAAACAGAAAAAGAGACCAACATATATATATATATATATATAAATGGATACATATCAGTCTAATGTCATGCAAACTCGAAGACTTGCAAGCGAAAACCAACAGTATTGACTGAAGAGGTAGGCAGTGAAGACAGGACTACAGGTGAACACAGAGAAGACTTAGGTGATGAAGAAAACCAACCAACCAACAGCAACAACAACAACAACAATAACCAGCACCAGTCACCATCAGTGGGAGAAATTTGAAGCAAGTCACTTCCTGCCTTCACTTTTCTGACCCGGAAGCCTAGTTTCAATTACAGGTGACGCCATGGATGATGAAGATATCAAGACCGACAAGAATCGTAAAGGAGAAGAGATACGCCTTTATCAACCTGAAATCAGTTTGGAAATCTTTCACACTGCACTCAGCATAAGGAACAAAATTCGCATTTTCAACATAAATATCAAGTCGGTCCTTCTATATGGGTCAGAAACTTGACATGTAACATACAGACTTTCATCAACAGCTGCCTTCGCTTCATACTGAAGATTAAAAATGGCCGGCCAGAAAGAATTAACAACAAGAAACTATGGGATCAAACCAACCAAGAGTCTATGGCTCAACAAATGCAGATGGACCAGACATACATTGAGTAGACCATCGAATGACATCATACGCCAGGTCGTCTAGTGGAATCCAAACGCGAAGCAACGGGCGAGTTATCTCAAAGTAAAACAGAGGAGATCGTGTGAGGAGGAGATGCGAGATTATGGGCGACCGTGGTCCAAGCTGAAAAGGGCAATAGGAGATTGGACAAATTGGAAATGTGTTGTTGAAAGCCTATGTCCCACTCGGAACTCAAGGGGATAATAATAATAATAAACTGTATAAGCAATTAATGTGAAATCATTTAAACATACTTTAACTGAATAGCAAGTTCATTTTATAGGGGTAGAATAACAAAACGGAAACGGAGCTGAGGTGCAAAGAGTATGGTAATTTAGAAAATTCACGTATCACTGAAACAGAGACGCTATACACCGGTGTTGTCAGCTACATAGTTACGTGCAGAGTTTTTCCACCAAAATGAAAAAGGTCAAGGACAATAAAGATATAAGATATGCTTCAACAATCTGGGAAAGACCAGTCGCCAATCCTCGACACTTCAAACTGTATATATCAATTTGAGTGTGTTTGTGGCAGCAAATACATAGGTCGTACGGAAAGGCGATTGTCTACTCGCATGATGGAGCATTTGCCAAAATGGTTGAAAACAGCTGAGTGCAAAGTCCCAAAAGCCTCAATAACAAAACATCTCGTGGATTACGGACATGATATCGACGCCGTCAAGTCATTCACCATCGTCAGCAAACAAAGAAACAAGAAGATGCTTGCAATTGCAGAGGCTTGTGCAATTCGAATTTACAAACCAGCTCTCTGTATACAAAAGGAGATGGTCGTCACTCTGAATCTACCATGGTAATACGCTTTACTTATTATTCTCTACTTGTTATTACTATTATTCTACCTCTTCTTATTATTATTTTGGTTATTATTACTATCATTATTATTATTCTTGATTCATTTAAATCTATGCTTTATCCGTAAGATTATCTTAACTCACTTCAACACTATTATTATTATTGTTATTAAAACTATTACTATTGATATTAGTCTGTTTGCAATTCTCGTTATATTCCCTAGTGACTAATTGTTTATCTAAGTGATGCAATTGAAGCGTAATACAATTTATCTTAATTTCGATCTCTCATACTCTCTCTCCCCTTATCTATTTGAACATGACCTGGAAAATATTCGCACCTGTCTCTCTGCATGATTAATTCAATGTAGTTTGTTTACTTATCAGTCTTATATCTCCCAATGTAATTTCAAAAGTATATATATCCGTGTATGTAGAGTATTCAGCTGACGAGTTCTACCGAAATTTGATGAATTCATTAAATCCGGCTTTATTAACCTTTATTGCTTGTCTTAAATTCGTATCGGGAAATAAATGTTTTCAAAGATATAAAGAATTAGTAACAGAACATATGAATGTAATTATCGAGTTATATCATAAAAGTGGAATGAAATTTTGAAAATTTAATTAAGATGAAAGAGTCAGTGCTTATCAAGGTAGAAATAAACAAGTAACAGTCTCTTATTGCACACATAATTTGGGTGTCACTCTTAGGATGGTCACAGATTCAGAGATTGGAAATATTCGTGAAGTGCTCTATCTGTTCCCATCTCGAAAGATTCTGATGTGTTGATATGATGTCATACACCAATCAGATACCAAGCTAAGGCACTATTAAATGGTGGTGAACCTCTAAGACGTAGACTCTCGGGCACATATTCAATAATTCTTGTAGACAACCATCTCTCTCTTCTTCTCACATACTTGATACCACATATACACGTGAATTTATAAACACAGTTGGAGTTAACAGGAGCCGGAAATTAGTCTAGTTTGGATTATGTGATCGAACAGGTTGTTTTATACAGAAAAAAAACTAGTTTGGTGGCTGGATATTGTATCTTTTATTCGTCTGTCAATTCTTTATACAATTTCATCTTACTTAAATCCTAATTTAAGGAAGAGTAGTTTCAGCTTAAGTATGCTTAAATGACTTCGTATTCATTGCTTATGTAATATATTATTCAGAATGTATGCAGCTGATGAAAATCCCAGTAAATAAATTATGATATCAAGTTATCCTGCATCCTAATTCACTTTCATCATTCAGCCTTGAAACAACCTTTCTCAATCTCTTCGAATATCACTTACGAAAATGCTAAGTGACACTTTTGATCATTAAGAAAGCTGAGGTGTGAGAGGCATCCAGTGGAATACAAAGTTTATTGATTTGAAAAATATACTAACCAAACGAAATAAAATAACCAAATCTACAGCATCAACAACAAAATTCGGTAGGATTTTCAATACAAACGTCAAGTCAGTCAGCTCTTGTATACGGATCAGAAAATTGGCCCACAAAGAATATTTCCAACAGGCTATTGCAGACAACTATCTTCGCTGGCTCTATACTGAAGATCAGATCAGATTGCCGGAAAGAATCACCAACAAGAAACTATGGGAACAAGCAAAACACGAACCAATCGTCAACCAACAAATATGGAGGAGAAAGTGGAGATGGATGGATTGGAAACTCGCTCACTGAGGAGGCCGCTGGGTGACATCGCGCGTCAGGCCATTGCTTGAGTGGAACCTGAAAGGGAAGTGGAGAGTGGGTCGTCGGTGCAAGGGTGACATGGAGGAGATCGTGTGAAGAGGAGTTGAAACAGCATGGACTAACATGGATGCAGGTGTAAAGTACAGCAGAAGGAAGACAGAAGCAAGTGGAGACGTGGAGTTGAAGCCCTATGTTTCACTAGGAACCCAAGGGAACTATAATAACAATAATAATATAATGCTTGTGAAATACATGAGTTAAGTCATCTTCACTTAATAGTGTAGATTAAATGACCAGCCAGAAGCAATAGATTATAAGAACTCTGACAGCCGCCCAGTCAACAGCCAATGACTGGCCCCAGAAATATGCAGAATAATTTGGAGGTAAAATGGTCAGACATTGAGGAGACCGTTGATTGGCACCACTCTCCAGACCGGATCTTGACGAGAACCTGAGGATAGCAGCCACTTGGTATAAGGGGTTGGCGGTTTACATGAAGAATCTAACGTTAAAAGAGCTAAGAAAAATTGTGGGCAGTGATTAAAACTGATGAAAGGGACGACACAGGAACCGAGCAGAATTAAACTTTCCCGCTGAAGCCCTATGCTTCACTGGGAATGTAAGGAATGGATAATATAAAAACGGCTTTATAGCAAGACAGAATCAAATAGAGTTTAATAGAACAAACGGTTGTATCACAGAATGTGCAGTCATCAATCTGTTGCGGAAAACAATAAATAGAGAATGATTCTCCGATAATCCTTGATGAACCACAAGTTATGCTGTTATCGAAATCAAAAACAGATGTAGTAATTTATTGTAATCGTAGTTTTAGTATTTCAAGATGACCGAATTACAAGAATCCAAACAAAACACAGAGAGGGCAGAACTCAGGAATTTGTATTTAGCGGAATTCTTATGCAATTCATATATGAAATATTAACAATCAACAGTAAGTATTTAAACAATACAAAGATAGAAATAGTCAATCACCACATCCGCCACACGTTGAATGTCTCCTTGCGTATTTATAATGATATCGCGGTTTGCTTGCCAGTCTCTGCGATCTTCTAACTGATTCTGTGATATCATTTCCATCAGTATCATCTAGACTTATTTCTGAATTATCTACAAAGTCAGGATTAGTAGCGGAGTCATTATAATCATAATCGGAACGACCTACCTCATTTATTCTCACTTGATCCAAGTGTCTGTTATGAACTGAATTATCTTCGATGTCTAATATCTTCACCATTCGATTTCCCATTCTTTGTAGTATGATACCAATAGAAGGTCTATAATCATTCCCTCTGTAATAATGTACATCAGAAGTCGTGGACATCAGATGCTTTCTGAGAATTCGAGATTTGAATAGTTTTGCAGGACTTTCATGAGTACTTGTATGCTCCGCATTGCGATATTGAAGTAAGAAGTTATCCACACATCTCTCTAGCTCATCAAAATTTTGAGGACTCATTGATGCTATAGCACTCTTTAATGTTCGTACAAAATTTTCTGCCAACCCGTTTGACTGAGGATGACGTGGTGCTGTGTACAAATGACGACAACCTATATGTTTGAGCCAATCATTGAAGTTCTTCTCCGTAAAATGAGTACCATTGTCAGTAACTAAGACATCTGGAATTCCTTCTCGACTAAAAATCTTTCTCAACGCTCTGTGAGTGAATTTGGCATTAGGACTATCTGTAATGATGACTTCTGGCCATCTAGAATAAGAATCCACAATAACTAAAGCATAATATGAATTTAAGAATGGACCACAGTAATCTGCATGAATACGCTGCCAAACCTCACAAGATGCAGGCCACGGTGTCCACGATGACTTCCCATAGGACATTTTATGTAAACAGCTAGAACAGCTCTTTGATCTTTTGTTAATGTCAGCATCAATTTCCGGCCACCAGCATGTTAGGCGTGCTAATGATTTCATCTTATCAGCTCCTAGATGAGCAGAATGTAGATCATCCAAAATCGCAGATCTTAATGTTGGAGGAATAATAATTCTGTCATTCAGACATAGAAATCCTTCAGGATGGACTGAAATCTCATCTCTTCGCTTATAAAAGTCTGGAAATCTTCGCTTACACTGAACATTCCAACCTCTTTTTGTTGCATTTATAACGCATCCGTAATATTTCCGAGTATCATTTATAAGTCGAACTCGATCCACCGGTAACGGCTGGACTAATAAGCAATCAGTATCATTAGCAACATTTTCAAATAATGAATAACGAGATAAGAAGTCTGCATGAGGTATATCCTTTGCCGATCTATGTTCAATAGTGTAATCATATGCACTTAGTTCTAAACTCCATCTTTGAACCATAGCAGCAGATGATTTATTCAAAGATTTTTCTGGATTGTAAATGAATTTCAAAGCTTGATGATCAGTAACTATGTGAAACTTAGTACCAAAGAGATACTTGTGCAAGCGTCTTATTGCCCATACAACTGCTAGAGCTTCTTTCTGGGTTTGTGAGTACCCTTGTTCACTCTTACTTAGACGTCTTGAAATACAAATAACAGGTTGTCCATTTTGCTCAAGTACTGCAGCTATACCCATAGGAGAAGCATCTGTAGTGAGAACAGACTTATCTTTCGATGAAAAAGGTCTTAAGAAAGCTTGTTTATTAAGAAACTCCAAAGTTTTTCGCAAGATATTCTCATGTTGTTGTTCCCACTTAAACTGTTTACTGGAGACAATCTCAAAAAGTGGAGATAACCGTTGAGTGAAGTTGGGAATGAATCTGGAGTAAAACTGAAGAGTACCTATCCATGATCTCAACGATGACATATTATTAGGTGACGGTGCTTGAATTAGAGGTGCCAAACGACTAGCATCAGGTCTGAAACCTTCGGAGTCTACTGTGTATCCCAAGCATGATACAGACGACAAAGTGAAATGGCATTTAGATGGATTAACAAGAACATTATTCTCACATAAACGCCTGAACAGTTTTAAAAGACGTTCATTATGCAATTCGATATTAGGACCATGAACTATAATGTCGTCTTGGTATGACTCAACACCATCTAATCCATCTATCATCTGATTTATTACATTTTGAAATATTGCAGGTGAAACCTTTAAACCAAAAGGCAAGAACTTATACTTGAACAATCCAAATGGAGTATTAATGGTTGTTAATGCACTAGACGCCTCATCAAGAGGAATTTGCAAATAGGCATCTTTTAGATCTATTTTGGAAAAGTATCTTGAGCCATGTAGCTTGTAGAGAATGTCTTCAGTTTCTAGAGTAGTGCAACTTTGCTGTAGTAGACGACTATTGAGTGTAAGGCGGTAGTCACCACAAATTCTAGGTGTTTTTCCATCAGCCTTTAGTGGCGTAACAATAGGAGTAGCCCAATTTGAAGACTCAACTGGCATAAGTATGCCTTGCTCAACCAACTTGTCTAACTCTTTCTTAACTGCATCTCGCAATCCATATGGAATTAATCGGCGTTTCAGGAAGATAGGATCACCCTCTATTTCAAGATGGATGGGCTGAATCTTCATACCACCTACACTCTTTGAACATTGGAGAAGTAATTCTCTGAACAAAGATTCATCAAACAACTCAGTACAAAGTGAGATTTCGACATTTAACAATCTAAGGGCTTTTAATCCCAATAAAGATGGACCATATTCACTAACAAGAAAGGGAATATTTACAAAATTACCACTGTCTGATTTCAAAGAAATGTTAGTAGCACCGATAAGAGGTAATTTATGACCAGTTATGCCTGTAATTGAACTAGTAGTAGGGTCTATCTGGACATTCTTACAAATCGATTGTAAATCTTTCTTAGAAATTATAGATTCAGTACTCCCAGTATCAATTATAAAACAATGGGACTTGCCTGAACTTGTAGTGAAGGTTCTCATTAGATGAGATTGAGTATTGGGAAAAGTTGAAAGAGACATCGACTGCATTTTACCAGATAAATTGGAAGAATTATCAGGATTCTGAGTAACATAAGTATTCGAACTTCTGCAAACAGTCTTGATGTGTCCAACTTTACCACATTTGTGACACTTAGCACCCCGAAAACGGCAAGTGCTTCGTAGATGTAACTTTCCACAGGAAAAACACGGTTTAATGTTTTTGATCTCTGGCTGCATTCTATTACCTGTGGACGGCAGTTTGGATTGCTTTCCATGACCACTTGTATTTTCGACTTTAGAAAGCATAACATCAGATACTGACGTAGTGGGAGCAGAGTATTCATTGTTGACATCTTCATATGTAATACATAAATCTTTAGCAGTTTGAAAGGTACAAGAAGGAATCTGAATTAACTCTTTCTCTAACTTAGGAATATTGATTCCAGCAATTAGACGATCACGTAGTTGAGTATGCAGCTGATCTCCAAAGTTACACTTTGAAGCTTGAATTTGGAGTTGCAGAATAAAGTCTCTAATCTTCTGGTTGGGAGCACGAACCAGTTTATGGAATTAAGCCCTCTCTCTGGTCTCAAATGTAGTTACATGAAAGTGATTTGTCAGAAGTTCACGAGTCTTGACGTATGATAGAGAAATTGGTTTATCTGGAAACGACAGAGTCTTTACTAGGCTATACGCATCTAGCCCAATAGCAGTGATGAAATGTGCTGGTATTTTGTCATCCCGAACATTCTTTGAAATGCACCACGCATCGAAGCATTCCAAATAATCAGCAATCTCCCGCGGAGACCCATTAATGGGAAATTTTCCCAGGTTATTTAGTTCCATCGCGACGCCAATTTGTAGTAATTTATTGTAATCGTAGTTTTAGTATTTCAAGATGACCGAATTACAAGAATCCAAACAAAACACAGAGAGGGCAGAACTCAGGAATTTGTATTTAGCGGAATTCTTATGCAATTCATATATGAAATATTAACAATCAACAGTAAGTATTTAAACAATACAAAGATAGAAATAGTCAATCACCACAACAGAACAATGAAGATAGATTTTTCAGTCAAATATTATAAAAGTTATAAAATGCAATTTGAAAATTATTTATAATTTATACCGTTGGAGGGGAAGTTTCCTCACAGATTATTCAGATCACACTATACGACCGCCTTGATGTCATAAGTGGTAATCCACAAATTAAGCTTACTTGTATAAAGCGATATACTAATGACTTATTGGGATGAGGAGTTGTATGTCACTCCCATCACCAAATAGTACTTGCTAGACAGCCAAATCAAAGTTATCTAAACACCAAACGTCCGTTTCTCTCGTTTAATGCCAAGCTGATCTGCAGTGTACTCTAATAATAATGATTATAATAATAATTATTATTATTGCTATTATAAGTTTATTCTGAACAGCATTTATGTAATGTACACAGTTTTCAGCTCAGTTTATTGCATGATAATTTCGCTTCATCCACGATCTTGAAATATAACATTAAATGACAGCAGATCAGATTGTGTAACACAGTTCTATCTGATCTGAAGCGCGAAACAATCCATAATCATACCTATTCTTTGTCCCCACTGAGAAATCCACGATATTTGGCTGAATTCGTTCAGGAGTACATTTTATGAACCAGTGACACGATTCAGGAACAGTCATCTCACGTATTGGGATAAGGAAGCTACCATCCAGGATAATGCTTTTTCATCTCATGTTCAGTAGAAACTTGAGAATGAGCAGGTTGTAAACTTTCTGAAAATACTCGCCAAGTGGGAAGTAGACATTTGTAAAAATAATATTTTTAAAATCTCAGACAAATTGATATGATTAATTCCAGCGTTTCGTTCGTCAATCTGGTCCAAACTTCTTCAGGGAAATTAATCGAAATTAACATAACACAGGTTTATATATAAAACAGGACACTCTTGGTTTTAAAAACTTTGTCCAATCATATGATTCATGAAACAGCTATCAGCATGTATAATCGACAAAATTGTATGACCTCTGGTCAAAATTTGGCCTCAGACGTTCAGAAATTAGTCTGCTTTTGTTAAACACTTTACACAGAGTGTACTTTTCATCTCATTAGATCACGTTCGACTAAAAGTTCATGGTCGTAGATAACTGAATTTGAAAATATATGTGTTATTGCAGTATACAATGGTGTGTGTGTGTGTGCATGGGTGTATGGGTAAACAGTTGTAAAACATATGCTTGTCTCTTCATAAGAAGATATAGACAATTGGGAATTTAAACCAGGTATGATAAATTAGTGTGCGTCGGTGGCACAGTGGTTAGGACTCTCGCCGAACATGCACATGATCCGAAGTACGACCCCTGCCGACGCACACCTGATATCTATGGTCGGCCTGCAAAATTTGGGCTACCGATATCCATGCTGAAAATTCCATACTTTCACCAAAAATACAGTGTGGAATCAATCTATAATAAAAAAAATACCCATTTTTTTATTAGTCAAGACTTGCCATGCATCAGCTAACATCACACCTTCACGTCTGTTCAAACTGTTGGGATTCACCCACATACGTAGGGCCTGTCGAAGTCAGTCTTTCGTTATGCGAACCAAAACCTTTCTGTAGGACCTTAGCCCTATCAAAGTCGATTCTGTGTCCCGTTTCTATCGAATGCTGTACAATCACTGATCTGTTTTCTAGCTTCTTTAAGTCTGCAGAAGTCCTAAGAACCACCTGTAGACATTGTTTATGCTCTTTCACTCTTATATTTACCTGTCTGGAAGTTTCTCCTGCATATACGGTGTCACAGTCCCCACAATTGATCTGACACATACAATTCTGTTCGTTTTCTTCTTCTATTTTATCCTCAACCTTCAGTAGTGATGAGCGTAAGGTGTTAGTTGCACGAAAATACACTCTTATGTCAAGATCGTTAGGAGTTCGCTTTATCTCATCCGATGTTTCTTTGCGGTAAGGAATTACCGTTGTACTAACCTAATTCTTAGCGACAGGTTTCGATCCATCCTTATATTCACATTTTAAATATCTATTCGTGTTCATATTTTACTAGATTTAAACAAAATTAAATAAGAGAGATTACATGCAAAATATGTTGATGGAGGTATT